ATAGCGCTCGTCGAAATAGAGGCAACCCCGCGTCGCGTGCGGTGAACTGGGAGGATGACGCAGAAAGAGGCTGAGCGCGCGCGCTTTAGAACTGGGCGACAATGTGGCGGTCGGCTCCGTTCAGGCCTCCCTGCACGCGACAGGGGCACGTCGGCTCCCCACAAAGGCTCCTCCAGTCTCCTTGACGGGGAACGCTGCGGGAGAGGAGAAATAAGGGAGCGAAAGAGAAATGCACTCATCTTCCTGGGATCTACCGCGGCTGTTGTTCTGGCACGTGGTTAATTGCGTGTCTTGTTTGTGCTTCCTGTCTCAAAACAGAATAGCGGGCCCGATGCCGTGCTCCTGCCGCGGCTTTCTGACAACCTCCTCCGCTACCTCCTTTTCGTCGAGCCTATTTTGTTGCTCGTGGCCCGTTTGGCACACAACCGAATTCCGCGAAGCCACGGCGAGCTATCTGAGCGAGAGAAATTTCGGTGGGTGTGTGGTGGGGAGGGAACGTGTGGGCGAGAAGCCAGGAATGTCTAGTGAAAGGTGAACGAACTCCTTATGGTGTTGCTGTTGCACTGGTGTATTGATGGTCAGAGGAAGTATGATGGGAATTGATTTTTGAAGCTAGTTCCTCGGCTGGTCTGGCACTCACTCACTCACTCGCTCACTCACTCACTCACTCACTCACTCACTCACTCACTCGCCAAATACAATGCTCTGCAGATTGATGTTGACTTCAAACAAGCACTTTAGCAACGTTGGTTGTATTATAATTAACATGTTATTATATGTAAAATAGACTGCCTTCACTATGATAGGCAAACGAAAATTTCTATATGGTATGTACTGAAAAGACGCAATATCTATAGCTGGCTAATGCTGTTAGGACATATATGTTATTTGGCCATTTTAGTTCTACTCATATACCCGTTTTTTTTTTACTTAGCGATCAGGTGTGCTTCGAACATTGATTGAGCGTGTGAACGTAGTAAACAGCAGTCTGGCTTCTTCTGCATGTAGGTATTTATTAAATACCTGTAGCTAAAACGCGTACCACATAACGACACTTTAGGGACAAATATACCGTGCGCCTAAGTGTATGTACTTCGTTGAGGGTAGGCGGTGAAGCAGGGTGTTTCTTTTTTTTTTAATTCTGACTTAAGACACGCACTCGTGCGTAGGCGCGTGAAGCCGCACGTGCTCGAGCGTTCGGGAGCGTGTGAGCGAAGCCAACATGGGAGGCACCAAGCCTGGCGCGATCAGCAGCTGCCGCGATCACACACTTCCTACAGAGTCGGGGAAGCCACGGTATTTATAGCAGGCGGGACTCCAGAGCACTCATTTCCGACTACGATTGGCTGAGCAATGAGTTCTCTTGTAGTAAAAAGGCGTAACCTAAAAAAAAAAACAGATGAGTAAAGGATTTTCCGTACTTTCAGGGACGCTGAGAAGCGCTGCATGAGCCTGGAGAGTCAACAGCCTGACTGCGATTCAGACCTTCTTCTCTACGAGGCATTAACGGTCATCCTCTTATGTTTTGAGCTAGTCAAATTGCACGTAACACGTCCTTCGTGTATTTAGGTATGACGTATATTTCTACGTGCTATAAAAGTGTTTACTAATTGAGAGAGTGCCAGCGAGGGCAAGTGACAGTGACTGCAAAACCTGTTCATGATTATTTACGGTGAAACCTTTGTTGACGGTGACGTGGGACAAACTTTCTTTTGTTTGTTTGGCAAGCCCCGCGGGCGTCACAATAAGCCGCACTTAGAGTTGAAATAAAGAAATGTATGTGTTTCATCAATATCAGCCTCAGCCGAAGATCAGAAAGACATCCTTTGGGATATGTCAAACTCTGGCAAGCATGTTTCATTTAGGCAAACTTAGTACCGTCTTAGTCGTCGGCGTAGTACGCAGTATAAGTTGCAACGGACTCAGTCAAAAGAAGAGTCGATGCCCACTGAAATTGTTTTGTTAGGCAGAGGTGCGACTTAGTACAACTTTGCGAGTTAATTTTAGGTAGATTGTGGATCTATGTTTTTTTTCTCCCTTCCTTTTCTTCTTGAAATCAAAATAAGAAAACAAATTTTCGTCATCATTGCTTGGTCACGGCTTACACTTCACACTTGCTTGTTAGGGTATAAAAAGTTTAGAAGCAAGAATATGGGCGAGTTCAAACTTTCTAGTTTTACTAGAGCATTCGTAAAACCAATCGCAGTGCACACTATTAATGTAGCCCGCCTAATATGTAAAACGTGATTATGAATGAATGAATGCTCCACGGTTTGATCATTAGTACGTGTCACAATATTTTAATTATTCTTCATCAGGCAGTTACCAGCATTCGACACACTTGCCTATGCAACTGCATAGTGACAGTTGTAACATGTGGGCATTAAACACGGAGGATACGGAACAACTAGAGGAGAAGTGGAGTTCCCGTAGCGGGCATTGCAAGGGAAAATCATCGGAGTGAGAAGAGATTGGAGGACGGAAGAGTGGATAAGGCAACAGGAGTAGCGACGTCCTAGTTGACACCGAGTGAAAGAAATAATAGGGTAGAATATCCAATCGGCGGACTGCAAGAGCAATATGATGGTTACGAATGAATGGGGAACGCAGTCGGGTAAGGCAGAGAGTTTCATGCAAGGAAGAAATTAAGATGTTCTCGGGATAAAATGTAATCAGCTCCCAAGGAATAGGGCAAACTGGAGATCATCGGGAGGTCTTCACCTTGCAGTGTACTAATACAGGCTGAGAACGATAATTATGAATGATATAACTCGAATTAGTTACTTGTTTCCAGCTGTTATGAGTATTTTGCGCCAACAAAATGAGGACACTCTTTATGTTAGCTGAGTTCAGTCGATATTTGGCTACCTGCACAGTGCAGTTCCGTGAGCCAGTGTGTTAGCCCATAGATATATTGCAGAGCCGTGCTTGCGCGCCAGCTGTTTTTGTGTCGCTGTATGAAATCTTGTTCTTCTTTGTGAAAAAAAAGGCAGAACAGGTTTGCTTGGCGCCATACACTCTCATGCTGTTCCTTTTTTTTTCAGGAATAATTTACTATTCAACAAGACTTTGCGACTAAACTGGATAACTTTCTTTTAGAAAGAAAAAAAGATAAGAGGGAGCAGCAACTTATAGATTGATATGAAACGATGCGTGAAAAAAAAAAGAGCTAGCCCTCAGAATATGGTCATTTAAACATGTATAACCCGCTTATTTAGTGCCGGTTTCTTTAATGGAGGATTGAAGTGATCGATACCAAGCTGCTAGTTTCTTCTCTTTGTGAGGAATGAAGAACGCGCCTTCGTGTCCTATAATGTAAAGAAGTTAAAGGTTGCAGAAGAAAACCTTGTTCAAGGTACCTTACTTCTGGTTTTAGGAGTGATTGGGAAGACAACATGTAATCTAAACCCGACTTGTCCAAAAAGAGAAATGCTTTCACACAAAGCCAAAACTTACAAGAAATGAAAAAAAACTTGACTCTATGCACGATAAAACTCCACGAAGCCATATTTTTTTCTGTATTTCTGACTGTCCAACCAGAATCACGGCATTTAAAAAAGTAGTTTGCATACCTTTCCTTCAAATATTCAAGTGATATGGGAAATATTCCTTGAAAAACTTCTTGTAAAAAGCTTCAGGCTCCTCTTAATTGCTAGTTATATCTTTTATATTTGTTGACGAGATAGGCAATGAATATAAAATGTGCCCCGGTGTTTTTAGTTATTGAAGTGCAAGCTTTCCAGCTTATTTGTTTATTTACATCTGAAAGCAGAAGATAAGGAGGTCGTCGATTAAACAATGAAGCTGCAGCGCCAGCAACACGCAATGTGCATGCACTCGACAAATTACCCCAGAATTATTCTTGCGCAGACAGCTAGTTTTAAACATCAATAGATATTGAAATAAACGTGAGATGACTGTTATAAATGCTAGAAAGATAAGCAGATAGACAGTCAGAAAACTTGAAGGCAAAATTTCAACTTGCCTGAGAATACGTAGTGGGGCGGGAATTCTTTATTTTCACGTCCTGGCGAAGTTGCGAGTCAAAAGCGGGGCTTTGTCCATGCTACATACACAGCAAGAGGTTGGCACCTAGACTTTATTTAAAAACAGCTCTCCTATACACTTCGCTGTTGCTTTCCTGTCATGGCAGAGATAATCATATGCAGCGAGATTCTCATTCATACTTGAAATGTGAGTGCTCAACTTAAGCGGAAACTTGGGAAGACAAGAGAAAACGCATTGATCACCGACCTACCCAATCAAGGACAATCACAAACTCCCCACTCAGACATTTTGACAAGTTCATCTATATACTACTGCTACAGACCTTACACTACACCACTCTGCTATACTCTCCGCCGTTATTTTCACGCCATGGAGAAATTGCCAGTCGAAAGAGAGACTTCGTCCATGCGACTGACCCGGCAAAAGGTCGGTGCTCAGACCTAACTCAACACCGCTCTCCTATACACTCGGCCGCTATTTACACCTGTCGTTCTTTGTTTGGTTAGGCTGACAGAGGAGCGTTATCCCGGTCCGTCAAATGACGTCGCCCTCTCTATTACTTGATAACGCTTCACGCGCCAATGAGAAATTGCGCTGAAGGCACCGGGGAATACGGTCTACCACCACAGCTCTGTTGACACAGAGCGCGCCCCCGCATATAACCTGCCGCTTCAGCGACCGCTGACGCGTCCTATAGCCGCCGATGCACCGATGCGACCGCCGCAGTGATCGCGGTTCATTATTGCGTTCACCAGATCTCTTCGTGGCGACAGTCTGCAGTTGAGAAGTGGGCTTTGAACAATAAACACAGCAGAAAAAGACGACAGTGTCGCGTCGCCGGAGGCCAAACGCGTGCGCTCTCGCGACATGCAAAGACGCCCGCCAGGAGAGAACACGCCTCTTTCTTCGTGCTCATGGTGGTGCTTACTTCTTTTTTTTTGCGATAAGCGAATGCGCGTTCCCGCACGTAAAAGCCAAAGGGCTCGCTCCACTGCTCAGCGCCGATTCCCTCGGGTCCATTAAGTGGATTGCAGCGGGAACGCGGTGCGTCGCCGTTGGTTGCGGCCGCTGTTGCTGCAGCTGCTTGCCGAAGCAGATGGCGCCCATTATTCCGTAACTCTTATAATAAAAGGCAAGGCTGAAAATGAACATTCGGTTTTTGAAAACTTTCTCTCGCACGCATTATAAACTAAACATTTTGTTTTGATTCCATTTTTCATTTTGCTATGATCCCATTTGTTCGTAAAATGTTGAAGCGTGCGCGGTAGCAAAAAGCTATAACTGATTTTTATAAGTGGTTAAAAAAGCGCTTTTTTAGTATGCATAAATTTTTTGAGTGCAAAAAATTTAAGAGCAGCCGCAGTTTAAGCGCAAGTAACGCAATAGACGAAGTGATTCTTCTACGCAGTTAACGAATTGGCGAAAAGAGTAAACTAGATTCAACGGGCCCGGTTGGTCGCCGAGATCACCCTCCCACATGCTTTGCTTGTATGTACCGAAAAAAATCTTCTCTCTTTCTCTCTATCTTTCTCTCGAGATGAGAAGTTTAAACAACAGTCGCTATGCGAGCCGGAAGGATTTTGCCTCGCATAGCGAAGCGGGTTGCGAAGCCGTACTATAGCGGTTGCGGTGAGGAAGGTGGGCGCCAGCGCATCTGCTGCACCCTCCTGCCGACGCCGCTGCCAGCCGCGTGGTAGCATATGCCTTCTAAGCAGGGTTGACAATGAATCTTCTATTTGTTGTTGTTGGCTGCTGTAGTACTTTCATGCTAATATATATTTGCTTACATCTACTAATGCAATGAACGAACACGTGCCTGATGACAGTGCTTATGTGAGGAAACAGAAGTGCGGCGACGCATCCCAAATTATCATCATCATCATTATCCTCCTCCTCCTCCCCCTCATCATCATCGTCACTCTTTCTGCGACTGTGCTGCTCCTGTCGCGCGGCTCATGCCGATAGCTCGAGGCACGAGCTGCGCACAACGCGCTCCAAATCCCGGAAAGAAAGAACGTCGAAGCCGCTCCACTTCGCCATCGCCCTTCTAAATAAAAGGATGAGAACGACCATAGCCACGTCAGCCGCCATCACGTCTTTCTCTTGCTACAAGTAGTGGCGGCAGTTACTAGTCACAAGAATGAAGAGAGCTACCGCGAAAATGTTTCCATTGTCTGCATGGCACACAACTGTGTGACCTGAAGGAACGAAAACAGGAGAGAGAGAGAGGAAAAGAAGGGATGTTAACCATTCTAGCCTTTATCATTGGTACAGGGTACCGCGCACCGGGTAAATGTATGTGATAAATCGAAAGGATAAAGTAACACGCAATGTGAGAAAGAGGGAACACACACGCAGAAGACTTCGAAGAACAAAGTGGCAGTCTCGCGCGGTATACGTCATTATTCTGACGAGTATACGGCATTAATTGCTCTGCTACCATAACAGAGCACTTACGCGTACGCGACAAAAGCAAAAGTCCCAGTGCAGTCTACGTTTGTATAATTCTAAAATTCACCAGACCTTAACTTTTCGGTTTAATATTCTTGCGATTGTCGTGATCCATCCCTGCGGAGTCTAAAGAACTCTCTTCATCGTGGACTTTTGAAAGAGCCTATGAAGTGACGATGATAATGGCGATGGTAAATCTTCTGCTGAAATCAACAGAAATAATAAATAAAGAGAACAATGATGACCCAGACAGCTCAAAATTTCTAGGTGAGGCTCTCGTCCAGGGCCCAGTGCACCAGCCTTAGGGCAGTGGACTAAGGTCTTCAAACTATTTTCTTCTTTCGGGATAGCACGGAAAATATAATAAAATAGCTTCAAGCATTGTTAAATATGCTACCATTTGCTGCCTATTTGTTTCTCTGATCAAGTTGCCCGGTTAACCTCGATGCTTATGGCATCCAAGATATATATATATATATATATATATATATATATATATATATATATATATATATATATATATATATATATATATATATATATATATATATATATATATATATATATATATATATATATATATATATATATATATATATATCTTGCTGGCTCTCTGGCTCGTGCTGGCTCTCTGGCTCTCTGGCTCTCTGGCTCGTGCATCTGGATTAAAAAAGATAACCTGGTTGCTGCCGTACCGGACGTGGTCTCATAAGTGGTGGAGCGTGCTTTGGTTCCCGCGTCCTCCTGCTCTACCCGTCACCCCTGGAGCTCCGGTCTGGTCGACGGTTGTGCCCTCAAGCAACAGCGATGGCAGAACCCAACACGCCCGCTGCTGCAACCGCTCCTCCTCAGAGAGAGAGAAACAACATTTTTTGTGCATCCGGCGTGCGGGAAGTCCGCGCAGGGCGCGGGTATTCCCTATCTAAAAACTATAGCTAATAGTCCTATAGTCCCATGCTCTAGATCTTGAGGACGTTGTGCTCTGGCTAGGCATTGGATACTCGGGCTCCTCCGCTCCCGTTGTCCGGGGCGTCGGTTCCCTTTCTCGTCTGCTTTGCCAGGGCCTCCTCAAGCCGCTGGATGGCCCTTCGTTGTGTGTTTAAGTCTTGGGAGCGTATCCATGCTCCCACCTCATCGGGATACGTGGCGTCCTGGCACTGCCCATTCCCATTGTTCACACCCCTGTTACACCCGCCCCACATGATGTGGCGGAGGGTGGCTAGTTCACGTTCGCACGCGCTACACTTAGCGTCTCCTCAGCCACCTAGGCTTCACTACACCGTGAGTACCTCTCATCGAGACCCTCCGGTATTTTCCGGCCTTTGCAACGAAGACGTCGAAGAATGGCTCGACAGTTATGATCGAACCAGCGTTTGTAATTATTGGGACGAGGCGCACAAACTGCGCTACGTTCCTTTTTACCTCGATGGCGTCGCCGAAACCTGGTATTACAACCACGAGAGCGACTTCTCCAATTGGTCGGCCTTCACGGGGCATCTCCGTCAGGTATTTTGCACGTCTGCAGGATGTTCCGTAGTAGCGAAACCGAAGCTCGCAACCCGCATTCAAGGGGACGACGAATCGTATACGTCCTACATTGAAGATATTCTGGCTCTCTGTCACCGAGAACAAAATGACATGACGGAGGCCGATCGCATCCGTCATCTACTGAAAGGTATCAACTCTGTGGCCTTCAATGCTCTCGTGATCCAGAATCCGACTACCGTCCGGGACGTCATCACTACATGCCAACGCCTGGACGCGCTTCATTCCATGCGCGTTCCACACGCCTCCTGCGACGCTCGCTTTACCAAAGAGCATGAATTGTGGGCCCTTATCCACACAATTGTCAGAGAAGAACTTCACGGCCTTATTCCAGGCAACCCGACCATTGCGTCTGTCCGCACACCTTCTCCCAACCTGCGAGAGATAATCAATGACGAACTGGCATCAATGACAAGCGCTGCACATGCCCCGTCTCCTGTGCGCTTCCCAGTGCCTTCGTACGCAAAAGTTGCATCGCGGGCCCCTGCACCAGTTCCAACCGTGCCTGCGGACATCGGATGCGACCATATGGCTGCGATGACAACGCAAGTGCCAAGGCCACGCGACTATTCTACATGGCGTCCTCCGCGCCCCATCTGCTTCTACTGTGGCATAAGGGGTCACATATATCCCGTTTCTGCCGCCGCCGTAAGCAGGATGAACGACGTGGTTACCCAGCTTACGAGAGAGACTTTGCCCCGAGACCCGATGAATACGATCCCGCACCGTATTCATCCACCTCCCGTCAGTCACCCTCCCTTCCACGGTCTCATGCTGCGCCTCATCCTCCTCGTTCGTCTCACCGCCGTTCTCCGTCACCGTTTCGGCGTACGTCATCACCCCTGCGTCCCGCGCCGATCTCTCTGGATTCAGAAAACTAGAAGGTGCAGTTTTAGATGCGGAGCATCTAATACTCGAGGCTTGTAGTGCGGCGCCGTCCGCAAGCTTCCTCCTCCTTCTTCCACCATCTGTGCATCCCTTCCTCCTCTACACACCGCGCGCGCTTCACTCCTCCACCATCTGTGCACCCTTCCTCCTCTACACACCGCGTGCGCTTCTCCTCTTCACGAACATTCGCTAGCTGTATAATGTAGCGCGCATGCGCCGTCACGCTTCGAGAACATCGGCAGCTGACGCGCGCGCATGCGCCGTCGCGCTTCGAGAACATCGGCAGCTGACGCGCGCGCATGCGCCGTTGCGCTTCTCCCCCTTCTCGAAAATTCGACAGCTGACAGTGCATACGCCGTCGCGCTGTATGTATACTCAAGGTCGGCGCTCGCTCGCTCAGTTGCCGCTCGTCGGTTGGTTTGTACGGCGCGTCGACGTCCAAGGTCACGGTGAAATGAATTCCAACGAATCCACAAACACAATGTTCGACGTCCCTTCGACCAGCGCCGCCCTTTCGCATACGTGTGTACGTGTTCACTCATTTAACACCCCTCCTACAACCACGTTAACCAATTTAGCCATCGACCCAAGTAAGTCGCAATTTAACACCCCATTTCACAACCACGTTAACCAATTTAGCCATCGACCCAAGTAAGTCGCACTTTAACACCCCGTTAACCAATTATATGCTCCGCATCCTCCTCAGTGTTCCCCCGAGGGAAGCTGCGGGCAATTTTTTGGAGGGGCGCCAGCGCATCTGCTGCACCCTCCTGCCGACGCCTCTGCCAGCCGCGTGGTGGCATATGCCTTCTAACCAGGGTTGACAATAAATCTTCTATTTGTTGTTGTTGGCTGCTGTAGTACTTTCATGCTAATATATATTTGTTTACATCTACTAATGCAATGAACGGACACGTGTCTGATGACAGTGCTTATGTGAGGAAACAGAAGTGCGGCGACGCATCCCAAATTATCATCATCATCACTATCGTCCTCCTCCTCCCACTCATCATCATCGTCACTCTTTCTGCGACTGTGCTGCGCCTGCCGCGCGGCTCATGCCGATAGCTCGAGGCACGAGCTGCGCAGAACGCGCTCCGAATCCCGGAAGGAATGAACGTCGAAGCCACTCCGGTTCGCCATCGCCCTTCTAAATAAAAAGATGAGAACGACCATAGCCACGTCAGTCACCATCACGTCTTTCTCTTGCTACAAGTAGTCGC